TGTACTGAAAGACTTGACCAGCTGCGTGATTCTTTCGCGTACTGTATTTCGTGAGTTTGCGGCGTCAAATGGCTACCGCTGTTACCAGCAAACTCATCTGCGCTGATCATTGCCGTCTTCCTGGTTGGGGACACTGAGATGGGCTACATCATTGACCCAGTCGCATCCTTATTGGCGCTCGTGCATCCAAGTTATTGCCTTCCCCTCCAAGTTCTTCTACCTGAACATTTCACTGGTTGTTCTGTATTTACCCACAAATTTATCAGCTCCCACCTCCAATGTTCAGCTACCCGCCCCACCTCCCCAAATCATCGATGGACAAAATTGTGGCAGCTACAACCATTATACAACAAGTACGCGGTTCTCACAGCCAATAATGATGATAATGACTGCTCCTACAGACCAATCGATCGATCTTGATCGATTTTCACCCTGAATAACAGCATTTGTAACCTAGTAGATAGGTGGGCGGAAATTCGCCCCGTTATGTTGGTAACTCCTGTGGAACGCACTCAAGTGCCTTTGGTTACCAAAAGTACATTGGAAAACTCCAGTAGGTGAAGGAAGGTAGTCAAAAATGAACCGCAGTGTCATGACGTCCTGTGAAATGTTTCCACTACACCACTGTTCACTGTGGATAGAAATGCTGAGTGGATCCTCGTCAAAACACTTGCCTGGGCCTGCTTTATAGTAATGGAATCGGCCAGTAGTATGTTCATTATGTTTAGTACAACTGCGGCAAAAGGTTCATCGGGTCGGCTTGAAGACCGCTGTTTTCTGAGAGTTTTAAGCACGCTCACATATTTAGTTTTGAATCAGCTAAAGAAGAGTTTACGCTGCCCAGTCTCTGCTCACCACCTGCACCTCGACAAAAGTTCTCACTATATTAGCGAATATACACTCATTTGCAAATAATTTGGTTTTTTCGAGAGAATCACCCAGAACCCAGCTGAATCTCCCATTTTTGATGTTCTCAGGCACTGCGCCTACCTGATGAGCCCAAAAAAGGGCGAAACCGTTCGTGGGCTGTCGACGGATTTCAAGCAACCTTATGAGTAGTACATCACAAAGATATACATGTATCGTGATATCTCGAATATCGTAGCGACTGAAAAATGAGGCGGCCTGGTGCAGCACATTCAGTTGCCCTGGCACATCACAAACGAGAGAGATATTCTCACTATATTGTTTATACCTTCTGTCGGAAAACTGGTGGTCTGTAGAACTTTCGGTGAAACAAAAGCGATTCCGCAACACAAGGTCAGTTCCAAGATAACCAGTTTCAGGCAAAGAAGAGCACATTAAACCGTCAATGTGATACGACTCCATTACGAATGGCTTTCCTTGGTTTACTGGCTCAGGAGTGTGTGTGACCTCCTGACAAACCTACGAAGTATGCTAGACCATCTTTGCAATCCTGTAGAAAAACAACCAAAAGTACCCTCAGCTATCACCGGAAGCCTGAAAAAATCTTTGAGCATAAGGTCACAAAAGGAGCTTGTGTTGACTTTTGGGGTTTCGCTTCCTTTGGGCGGTTTCTTTCCTCACAAAAAAAAACAGGGAACAGGAAGTTCAATTAAGTGGTAGTTGGCATCGGTCGAAAGTTGTGGATGCAGTGAGTGCAGTTAAAGAAACACTGTGGAGTATTCGTTCCGGCATAAACGTGTATAATCGACTGTCGCACCTGCGGTGGAGATAGACGAGAGAAATGATTGGTCAATGAATTTCGGTGTCATTAGACCGTTGGTGATTGTTCAGGCGGCCGTCGACACTTTGGCCGAGTTTGGCAACTGACCTGAAAAGGTATCATCACCATACGAATAAAAATAATCAGTGCGCCATTTGATGGATACGTTCTCTTTGCTCGCGTACGTTTAATGGCATTTGAGGATTATCTATTATCTCTTAAACTGATTGGCTAGTTGGGAAAAAGCGTTTTCGTAAATTTATTGGTCCGGCTGCGACCTCTGTAGCGTTGTGGTTTTCCTTTTCTCTAAGTCGACTGATTATCTCAATGCCTTCTATTTTTAGCAGTTTCTTCCTTTTTTTGAAAGGCCCTTTCTTAATTTGCGTTGTGGTCTGATCTTCTTAATAATGATTGGTTAAGCGATAGCAGACGCTACATAAGCTCACACAGGCACAGAAGATGTGCTTACCTAATGGCGTACTGATGATGTCTCCTCGTATGGTGACGAAGTAGCGTTGTGGTTTTCCTTTTCTCTAAGTCGACTGATTATCTCAATGCCTTCTATTTTTAGCAGTTTCTTCCTTTTTTTGAAAGGCCCTTTCTTAATTTGCGTTGTGGTCTGATCTTCTTAATAATGATTGGTTAAGCGATAGCAGACGCTACATAAGCTCACACAGGCACAGAAGATGTGGCTTACCCAAGGCGTACTGATAATGTCTCCTCGTATGGTGACGAAGATTTGCCCGTCAACTACCAAGCTCGGTGAACACATCAATGGCCACACGATCAGCAGCCACATAACCTCCTTCGAGCCACAAGTTTTTTGGCAGGTCGTTAGAGTGACTAAGTCCTGCACACTTGTGGATGGGGGTCTAAGTACCTATTCGGTAGTATGACCTTTCTACTTGTCAAAGAGTAGTGATGTTAGAATACGGTGCCTAGGTTTCACAAGAGTAGTCTCCAAAATTTTCAAGTGAAAAAAATACTCATATATTTCGACTGAAGCATGAAAGTGATGTGCCAATGGTGGTTTCCTGTGACTTTGCTTGATGACTGTTCTAACAAGGTGGTAGTGTTCATACGCACAGAGCAGTATAGACGTGAAACGTTTAAGTAAGTAAACAAGTGCACGGGTAACCAAGGTGTTGTGAATCTCAAGCTGTCGACTGGAACACAGAAGGCCTACCAAGCTCGTTAAAAACATTGAGTCTGCTTCTCTAACCGAGAGCTTAATGCTTGTTCCTCACTATATTCCGCATTATACATACATCCTTTTCTATTATTGAATGCTTCTCTTGTCAAAGTATTCTTCCCGGATGGAAATAAAAATACTTTCATGTTTTGTACAGTAGCATCTTCTAGAGAAGACGGCTGTCAGAAAAAAATTAATTTGGTGGGATTGTTTAGGACAAATTTCGGTGCAGCTGGTCCATGTGTGTCATGTGACCTCGCAATTTTTCATTTACACCGTAGTTCGTTTTTTGCCTTTCTTCAGCAGTTTTTTACCGGTTTTCTTGTCTGTTCGACTTTCCCGGACGAGAATATATTGTCATACATCAAGCAATCTGCTCAGAATGAAACTATTTTATATCTAAGCAAGGCTATCTACAATGTATTACAAGGTCGGACCATAACATACAACCCTGCCAGGACAAAGCTAATGCATGGCATATACTTCAAGGTTTATTACTGGTCATAGAAGCCAAGAAATTATCAAGACGCAATGCAGGCTCATTCATGAAGCCAGGACTTCCTACATGGCACCCAACCCAAATCATCGATGAACTGAGTTTCGTACCATAGCGCATTTACCCGTGCGCTTGACTGAAGAATCACTAGTTGGACCAAAGTCATCTATCAAGGTCATTGAAGGTCATTTCTCTTGTCCATGATTGGTTAGTTCATTTCGGAATGGTGACAACAACTCCTGTAGTTGACTGTAGACAGTTTTGCCTAAAATTTCCTCCGTGTGGTGTGTAGGGTTCGCAATTGGCGGAACTATTTGCCCCACTTTCATCTACATGGCCGGGTTACCTATTTGATCATTCCGACAGTCATTCACAGTCATTTTAGCCTTAAAAATAATTATCATTTGTGCTAAATTGGCTCAATCAAAAACTGTTTGGAATTCCCCAGAGCCAAGAAACCGCTTATTTGCACATGCGTATGCGTCTTGCTTCAGTAAGAGGTGGCAAATTTCCCTGAAATCTCTCAGTAAAATCCCTGTCTATTTTAGGGACAAGAGCGGCAGATCAATAAGTTAAATCTCTTTTAGAAAAAACCCTGTTTGTTTTAGAAATAGATTCCAGTTGATTTTTTCTCCGTCACATAACACAAAATAACCAGCGATTAACATCCTGTTGGTCTATTGTCCAATCGATTTTTTTCGCTTTCGAATCCCTACTTAAATTTCATTGGTCGTGGAGGGTCTGCCAATAGCAAAACAGCATGCGTACATTAGGCAAAAGGGGATGAGTGTGTAGTAGAAACGTAATGAGGTTGGTACTTATCCGTAATATATTCGACATTGAACAGTATGGATATAACTTAAGATGTGATTTGTTCCATTGCGTTAATTATCAGAAATGAAGAACACTACTGCCCGTCCTCAGACTTCCAATCATTCAGGATCTAAAAAGATTGAAAACGTCCCGCACTCTGACAAGGCCACACAGCAGCCAAATGAAGTAGAAACTGAGCAGCCGAAATTTCTCACTGGATGGGTGCCTGTTGTAAAGATTTTCAATACAAGGCACAGAGCAGTTCGTCTTCTCTGGATAGTGTTCACTGCATCTATGGTGGTTGCATTGGTCAGTTCTATCAGTGTCGTGGTTCATCGTTACTTGTCTTACGTCACAGTAGTGCGTCTGGATCAGCAAGGACCCCAAGAAGGGGTCGGACCGCCAGTAGTCACGTTGTGCCTTCCTGAGCATGAAACTGACAAAATGCACATATCCGCAGATGTCAACTCGCCCGAAATCCTCAGTGGGATTTCACGCACATGTGACAAAGATTTCGCTCTCCGCTGGGACTCGAAAAACGATGCAGTATCCAACGTATACTCGAGTGGTGGCCATTTCGCTATAAATCTTCGAGCGGGTCCCGTGGGTTGCTACACTATGAAAGTTTATGAACAGGTACCGTATCCGCCCAATTCGATTTGTACAAGTTTTGAATTGGAACCCGTGCCTTCGAAAACTCCCGTGTTTTGGAAACTCGTAAGTCAGCAGAAGCTCATTATTGCTTGTTTGTTAGCAACGCGTGGCAGAACTGACTCATTGATTGATTCATTTGTCATGCGCTGACATTGATTTTTACTTGATCTGTTTTGACAATCTCAGGTCCTACGCACCTATTCTTGAATCTTTGCAACTTTACTAAGTAATGAAAACAAAAAAAACTAATAAAGATGGTAAAATTCCACCCCGCTGAGAAGTTTTTGAACCATAAGTATGTAAAAAAACAATGGATATAAATAATCAAATCTTTCTAAAGAAAACTACTCATTAGGTTGCTGAAAACTCTCCGACAGTCCATGACTAGTTTCGCCCTTCCTGAAGCTCATCAGGTAGGCGCAGTCCCCGAGTTTCTGTCAACCTTATGTTCCATTTGGACCAAAATTGGATTGATTGCGACAAATACACTCGTTTTCAGATCAGTTTAGTTCCCACGAGAGACTCAAGCGAATCTCTCGTTTTTGATGTTCTTCAACTGAATATGCTGCGTATAGGCCGCCTCGTGTTTCAATTGGTACGATAATCGACATTTCGCGATACATGTATAGACATAATACACTACTCATAAGGTTGCTGAAAATTCTTCAACAACCCGCAACCAGTGTCTCTCTTCTTGGGGCTCATCAGATAGGCGCAGTCGTCTAGTTTTCGTCCACCTTTTTATGTTCTACTTGAAACAAAATTGCAGGAAATTCTCGCAAAATACTCATTCGCAAGCAAACTTGGTTTTGCGGGGAACTCACCTAGAACCCAGCTGAATCTCTCGTTCATAATGTTTTTAAGCAACTGAATTGGCTATACCAGGATCCTTAATGTTTCATTTGGTACGATATTCGAGAAATGGCACTACGTTGTTGTCCAGACATAACACCCTACTTATAAGTTTGTCTCCCTCTCCGAACTCATTCCACACCGGTAATCGATTGTATCGGGGGTTTCCTTGGGGTCTTTTTGCCACTGACTTAATTACCACAAATAGCATTTGTGAACCAATAAACCAGTCCGCCCATTTAATTGGAAGATTTTAGCTATTTTTTATCGAACCAGACAAGATTTTCATTTCGCGTTGGAAAACATTTTAATCGTGCGCGCTGGCGCACGCAAGCACAAAATTTTGCATACAATTTTCATTCCACTTAGTCGCACAACATTGGTTCAATTTCCTTTTCCTATTTGATGATGCATCCTGGGGGAAAATCTTAAAACGGTTTTCATCACTACACCTCCAGTAGAACGGAAATATTTTGGTTATGAAGTAATGGGTTGTAGTTGGAAAGAAAGCGTAGACTAACAGTAAAGTTTTTTTACGGAGCTGTCTTTAGACGAATTGAAAACCAAGTAATTCAATGTCCCTGTCTTAGCGGGAATTTATTGTTTGATGAAACCCGATAATTTCTGCTAAAACCTGAGAAAAAATTGTTCGGCGCCTTAATGAGACGTTTCAAGAAAGTGACCTTGACCTTTGGGGGTCGATGATATTTATAAATTTGTACGGTGTGTTCCAGTGAATTGTAACCACTAGATATATAATGAACAGTCTTCAGGAGGATGAAGAAGTACATGGATACATTTCTTAGGGTACCAATCAACCGGCCGTAAATGTAGCACTTGCACTTGCTATGCGCAGTGGTACACCACGACATTGCCAATTGAAGTATATCACTGAAAGTTTCAGGCTTGTGTACACGTCAAATCAGAACTTAAGACAGCCACCTAATATTACAAGCTAATTACACAAGAGGTCACTAACAAACTCGGCTGAATTGCTTGAAATCACTTATCAGGATCAGGTCAAATTCCTCCTAGAGAAGAGCAACAACCCAGATGCGTGTACCTCAAGAAAGCTCATTTGAGGTGATTACGACGACGAGTACTTTACCTTAATTTAGTCTGTCGCAGTCTCGTTAGCACTTTCAAATTCATACCGCATCAAGCGGAAGAGCCACGTGATTGCTACGGTATCCATTTTCTTTAAAAATGAACTCAGAGCCTGTTTCGGTATGTCCAACTGCAACCTTGATGCAGACCTATGCCTCCGGTGAAATTATACTAATGAATGCATTCATTTCAAGCTTCCATCGAAAGTTCGCGCACAGTCATATACCGCAGCAAAATTTGTCAACTGTATGCTTCCACACAACTCATTTATCGATCAGATCAATAGTTACGTGCATGATTGGCGAAGATGCAATCGATTAGACAAAGTCGCTGGCGAAGATGCAATCGATTAGACAAAGTCTGATACATCTTGTGGTCCCGAGTGTCCGTGGGACCTTAAATTTCTTTGAGGCAGCCTGCCCATCGAAATTTCAACCTAGTCCAACTTTGCTGGTCTCGCATGGTTCTTCTCGGGAGCGGTGAAGCAGGCTGAGTGGTAATCAACCCAAGGCTCCACAACAACCAGATGTGAGGAGGGATGCAAAAAGATAAGGAGAATGCGATCAGATTTTTGCAATCCGCCAGAGCATAGACTGTGAACAAGGATGACTCCGTTCTGGTTCATTTCGCTGGATGATTTACCAGTTACTAGTTTCATGCCATCCAAACCAAACTCGCTCCTCAATCAGAAAGGCAACTCACAAGGTCCTTGTAGCGAGGAACGTCCCGCAATGAAGGACATTCAGTGGGGGGTGTCCTTTAGTGTAAACTGTCTACTCATTACTGTCTCTGTTGATGCACTTCCAAGTGCTCCATAGCAGTGAAGACATTCTTTTTTTTACAAATTTATTGAGTTTTTACGTGGTCGAATAAAGGCACTCGCCGTTTCAGAATTGTTCAACGGTCTATAACCAGATAAAGTTATATTTACGAATGTGGTAGGTAGTGATACACACATTCTGTGTGATTTTTCGAACTGTATGAATGACTTTGTATGAGACAGAGGGCAGATTTCATTCGGCGTTTAATCTACCGTGATCGTCCACTTGCGTAATGAGATACCGATTTGAGGAGTTTTTGTTTAAATGCGACTGTGCTTCCATTTCCGAATGAGTGCACACCTGTAGGCCAGTGTGACAGATGGACGGTAAGTTTCGAGTAAAAGTAGGTTTCGAGTAATCAACAGTTGTGTCTGGACGCGTCAGCTTCCAAGACAAAGCCTCTCTCATTCGTTTCAAGCTGGATTCACGCGTACACGATCATTCACAAGCAAAAAAAGATCCGAATTCGTGCGAAATAAGACTCGCAAGCCTACCCCTACAAGTTTACCCCCAAATGCGGTCTAACTGATGTACTAGCCCAACAATGCGTGTCATAACCAAAATGGTACGCCAAAAGCGTGACCGTTTTAAAAATCTTTGTCAAAAAAGACAGTATTGTACCAAGAAGCTCACGCATCTGCAATTTTGTGGGTTCAAAAAGTTGTCGGTTGAATGTGGTTACCAGTCGGAGACGCAGTATTCCTTCGAGATGAACGTTTCGGCACGGTAAGACTATTTTACCTGCTGCGTATTTGGCTATGACAGTTGACTCAGGTTTGTAGCGAGGTTTACGTCATAAGCAGATGGAGAGAGAGAGATGAGGAATCACAAGTGCGGGTTGTCCCATAACTGGAGGCAGCTGTCCGAGACCTTTCGTTGCATTTCTACCATTGATCCTATCAGGATGAATGTTTTGAAAGAAAGTGTTTGAGTAGTACTTACGGGAATAAAAATGTTTGTACTTTTTCTCAGGTTATTACGAAGTAGCCGGGATTGCCTATTTTACTCGACACACTTGTTCCTGTTTCCCTGTTCAATTCAATGGGAACTTCAACTGATGACATACGACGGACATTTAAAGACTTGCTTGCAGTCAGTGTTGCCGGTTCCACCTATTCCCGTTCGCCACTGTTTGTTTCCGTTGTGACTGACCGCTTCCTGTGTGTGTGTGTGTGGGGGGGGGGGGTCCAGAATCTAACGTGTGCAATCGAGACTGATTTCAGACAGGTAGGACCTGGCTACGCGCCACGTGATCAAGTTCACTGTACCCAGCACGTGTTCGAGGTCGTCCAAATCCGCGTGAGGTTCCATATTGCTTCGTGTCTCCTTGTGTCTGACTTTAGTGCAGTCCGCTCATAATCCGCGACATCACATCGTGTCGCGCAGTCCGCTCATAATCCACGACATCACATTGGTTGTTAAACTGAGACCATCAAAGTAACTGCTGTAGCTTCCGAATTGCAACGGTTTGTTATCACCCATCCTGTATCTAAACTGGCATGTTTTAGGACTAGACCCGACATTCCTACTGCCCCACTAGCAATTGGCGCAGCTCTGTTGTCCGCGTCGACACTGACGTATCCACCACTCAGTGCCCGTACACATGTTTTAGGACTAGGCCCGTCATTCCTATTGACCCATTAGCAATTGTCACAGCCCTGTTGTCCGCGTCGATACTGACGTATCCACCACTCAGTGCCCGTACATTTCTACTCCATAACTTTGGATCGCCTTGAAGTTGTTCATCAACGAAAGCCCCCAATTCCACAGTATTTGAATTACAAGAACAAAACGAATAAAATCTACCACTTCAAGTATTCCCCGTCGTACGAAGGCATCTGTTTGTTCACTGACATTCACACCTTGCGTTATCGTGGTCCTCCTCTAAGTTGAACTGGATTTGAAAAGTGCATATATCCACCAATCTATTCGATTGGGTGGAAAGTAAAAATCCAGGGTCGCATTGTGCGTATGCAAGTTTACAAGCGAGAACCATTGGGATGGGCGTTACCGCATAATCCTCGAAGGATGAGTTGTGCACTGTCCATCTGTCCGCCTAGCCCATCAGTGTGCATTCATTCATTCATTCATTCATTCGTTCATTCATTCATTCATTCATTCATTTCATTATGGAACGAAAGCCCGTCTCAAATCGGTAACCCGTTACGTACGTGGACAATCACGGCGAACTAAACACCGAAAGAAATCTGCTCTCTATCTTATAGAAAGCCTATCATTCAGTTCTGTGCAATGTTCGGGGTATGTTTTTGCCAACAAAGGAGA